CCATTGGGGTCTCATAACAATGTATGTTAAAAAAAAAAAAATTCTGTATAGGAGACTAACTTGAAATGTAAACTTCATCTAATTACAACAATAAAAAAAAGGGGGGGATAAGAAAAAAAAAAGATTACAGCCAAGAAAACCATATGGGGAAGTTCTAATCTGTCACAAAGGGTCACTATGAGTCAAAAATTGACTCAACAGCACCTAGCAACGACATGCAGAACTCTAAAAGAACCTGTATATTCTCATTCCTAGCAGCAATTTACTTGGAACAAAATACCTTCAGTCCATTTCAAGTAATGATGTTAGTTTAAATTGTTTTTGGTTAGTTTGCATTTTATTGGCTTTATAGTTTTATTATTTGTTAATCTGTTTTAGTAGCACAAAAACATTTTTTGTCAAAATTAGAGGCCCACAACATGTGTACTGTTAAATCAGAAACTGTTTTGTTCTGTAGGCCTTCATCTTAAGTGAGAATAGCAGCACAATTGGAAGAGCGTATTCGATGTCACTGAAACTGTGCATGTAGACATTTTTGAAATGGTGTATCTTTGGCTATGTATATTTTCACCAAAAAAAAAAAAGGTCGAGAAGGGAGAGGGTTGACATGTTGTGGGGTTGTTACCCAATGTCACAAAACAATATGTGTACTACCGTTTCATGAGTAACTATTTGTTCTGTAAGCCTTCACCTGAAGTACAATAAAAATAAAAAAAATTAGAGGCCCACAAGAATTTTTTTCCCTTTAAAACGAATCTACACATGACAAATTTAAAAGTCTACTAAGAACAATTACTATCAGCCAAACTCTGTTCTAAATATATATTAACTCAATTAGTCCTCACAGTTATCGAAAACTTGGGTACTATTTTACCATGGAGGAAAGTGAAGCACAGAAAAAGGAGGTCACTTAACCAAGATGCTCAGCTAGTAACAGAGCCACAATTTGAAACCAGGCAGTTTGGCCATGGACTGTGGACACGTGGATATAGCTGAACACTAGCTCCAATTTTCTTATCTATTCAGCCATTTTAAATCACTTAAAAAATAGCTTGGTACACAGGTCCCAATCCTCCTCCTCCACCATAGTGAACAGAAACTTCACATAAGGTCTAAACACCTTGGACTGACGTTTAAAGTCTTCCACAATCTGGACCCTTCCTACTTTCCCAACTTGATCATTGAAGAGTCTCAGATTATATTTAATCTACTATTCTACCCTGGACTAATTATGACACCTTATGGCCAGTAAAAAAAAAAAAGTTTCCCCATAGTATGATACAGTGACTCTCAAACTTTAAAGTGTGCAAAGAAATCATCTGGGGGACTTGTTAAAAATGCAGGTTCTGATTCAGTAAGTCAAGGGTGGGGCTGAAATAATTCTATATTTCTAACAAACTCCCAGGTGATGCTCCTATATAGCTTCCAATTTGTAGAGCACATTTACAGCAGCAAGGGTATCGAATAAATTTACTCTTATTTATGTTCTCTGAGCTTCAGTTTGCGTAACTTTAAAATGGAGTTAACAGCAGCACTTACCTCTGAGGATTTTCGTGAGCATTAAAAGAGATGATGCACATAAAGTCCTATGCATTTCTCAGTCCGGCACTCAGTATATAATCAACAGACATTGGCTGTTACTAGTAACAAAGACCTCATTAAGATGCCACCACTTTATCACAGGTATCTCTCTAGTTACTTTTGCCTCCTTCCCTTCCCGCATTGTTTCCTGAACTGAATGCATCTGACAACCATCTTCCCAGCTTTTACCAACGTCTCCTAAAGGCTGTATTAATTGTTTTTCTTCAAATTAACTTACCTGAAGTATTTTTCAAAGGAAAATTTTCAAAAATACCTCAAGTATTTTTCAAAGGAAATGTTACATCACTATTGTAAACGAAAAATCAGTGTCACTTGCCATCGTTGGGTGACCCACGTTGAAGAGAAAAATTAGTAACAGACATCTTACTTTGATTTTAAGGTTTTTCTTTTCCACAAAACCAAATATTAACCATAAAAAGCCTGCCAAGAAACTGCTCTACAGCAAAGTAAATTTGACTATCGTGCTAGAAAAGGATAGTCGACAAACCATTACCTTCTAATGTAAATTGCTAAAAGTCTCTTTGCTGCAGGTGGGTTGTTGTTAGGTGCCCTCAAGTTGGTTCCAACTCATGGTGACCCTATGTACTACAGAATGAAATGCTGCCTCGTCCTGCGCCATCCTCACAATCATTGCTATGTCTGAGCCCACTGTTGCAGCCACTGTGTCAATCCATCTCATGGAGTGTGGGTAGAGGGCCAAATTATTAGCAGCCAGGCTGGAAGTAAACTGATATCAGTTGATCTCAGTAAGGGGGAAAGGCAGGGTTCAATCAATGATGTTAAGATTAACCAAAGGTTGATCTTCTATATTTCTCCCACTTCTTCTCTTTAAAGCCTCCTTGTACCTAGCTTCTTGAAGCCATTTGCTTTTTCTGGAATTAAAATAACCTCTGTATATGTTGCGGAGCCCTGGTGATGCAGTGGTTAAGAGTTCGGCTGCTAACCAAAAGGTCGGCAGTTTGAATCCCCCAGCTGCTCCTTGGAACCCTATGGGTCAGTTCTACTCTGTCCTACAGGGTTGCTATGAGTCGGAATCAACTGACTGCAACGGATTTTGGTTTGTTTTTATATGCTGTACAGGGGTTCCAAAATCGAGGTGCCCGGTAAATCGAGGGTGGCTAGCTCAGGTTTGGGCTGGACTCCATTTCGTTATTTTTGCTTTTGCCTTAGCAACAGTTAACCTTTATACAAACTTAATCTTGTATCTAAAGAAATGTTTTTCTTTGTACCCAAGCTAAGAAAAAGCCTTGACACAAATAACAGCTCATTCCCAAGGAGCCCTGATACACACAGCATATCTAACCTCTATGTTCCTAGAAAGGAATGCCTTACAAACCAATCCCCCTAGCCCAATATGCTCTGTAAACAAATCCCAGCTTTGAGATGTCCCGCCTCCGAGTTGCCTAATTGCTTGGCAACCAATCAGAATATTGCACCTTATAACCAAAACAAACAAAAAACCAAACCCTTTGCCGTTGAGTCGATTCCGACCCATAGAGACGCTAAAGGACACAGCACAACTGCCCCGTACAGTTTCTAAGGAGCGCCTGGTGGATTCGAACTGCTGACCTTTTGGTTAGCAACAGTAGCTCTTAACCACTACGCCACCGGGGTTTCCTTGCACCTTTTAGTTCCTGGTTTTACTGTATAAATATTGCTGTGTGACGCTAGCATACTGGAGACTAGCTTTCACTTTGTGAGATTCAGTGCTTCCCCAATTCACTTGCCTTTCCTTTCAATAACTCTCTCTTGATCATATTTTTAAATAGAGCACACCATTGTTACTCTAGGACAATGCATATAGAATAACTGCTCCGAATAAACCTTATGTTCAAATTTTGGTGAGTTTTATTACTTTTAACACTCATAAAAGCAAATACCATGAAACCAGAGGTATTAAATCCTAACTAGATATTGTCAACTGAAAACAAGACTATCCAGTTAGGGAGATAAGCAAGACTTTCTCCTTGACATTTATCAGCAAGGGAAAGAGAACCAAAATGAAAAAACAACTTTCTCACTAAACCAAAAACCAAACGCGTTGCCATCGAGTCTCTTCTGACTCATAGCGACCCCTATAGGACACAGCAAAACTGCCCCATACGGTTTCCAAGGAGCGGCTGGTGGATTCAAACTGCCCGCCTTTTGGTTAGCAGCTGAGCTCTTAACCACTGGGCCACCAGGGCTCCGCCTTCTCACTACAACGATTAAATCAGTTAATTCATGTGGTTAAATGAAATAAAAATGGAATCTTGTGGTTGACAAAATGTCCTCGTGGTTGGGTGGAAAACTCCCCTAAAACCTGTCTTTACCAAAACTTAAGCCTAGCTTTCCTGTAAATCAGGCCACACTCCTTCACCGAAGAGATTCTCACATAGCTTCCACCTTTGCTGACCAACAAAATCCTGACAGCATTTCAATAGTAAATTGTGTAAGTCAATCAGAAACAAGCTTCTTTGCTTCCACATTTTTGTCAATAAAAAGACAGTCACTGCTGATACTCTCAGTGGGGTGTGCTACCCGTTTCGCGAAACCTCTGCAGGAATAAACCTCATTCAACAGATTAATTTTATTACAGACTCAGTTTCTTTTGACAATGTAACACGATTAGAACAGGGCTGCACAAAAAGTGCTCAGTAACTGGCCATTATTGTAGAATTGACATTATTTTAAGCCCATATTTTGGGATGCCCCATGTTACACAATATTCAGTCAACTGCCGGGTTTGAGTTGGGTGATAGGGAAACGTCTGTGGAGAGATATTAGGCGCCTTCAGAGAAAAGAGGGATTCCCCCGCGTGAATGAGGTGGCCTCACCCAGGGAACAGGTATCAGCTGGACCCTGAGAAGGTGCAGGCGGGAGGCGCGGGAGGCGGCAAAGGCGGGAGCGGGCGCGCGGAAGGCTGGGGAGGCGGCCACGTACTTGGCGTTGGAGGTCTCTTTCCAGGACGCCGTCGGCTCCTCGCATGCCCGCCTCAGGATTGCTATTTCTGCTTCCAGGGCGCGTACCTCAGCCCATTCGGCCTCCATACGGCAGCGCTGACAACAACCGGATCCCGTCAGGTCCCTACTGACTGGGGCCTTCTAGGCGCTTCAAGACTCCCGCGCTCTCCCAGCGCGGACCATTTGCCGAGCTCGGTGGGGGTGAGGGTGTGGGAGCTCGCGCCCTAGAACATAAAACCCCAAGCTCACAAAATATCCCAAGGTCGTTTACGTCCCTGCGCACGTTAACAAAGCTGTCTCCAAGAAGTCCCTACACTTTCAAGAGAGTTGATTCATCCCACCCCCAAAGCCAAGGGTGCTGCCGCTGACCCCGCGCTGGTGGCGCGTTAGAGGAACCCGCGTGCTTACGTCACTGAAAAAGAAGGCCCGGACTACGCGAGGGCCAAGCAGCTCTTTATTTCATTCCTTCACTTCCGCCGTCAAGTCTAGGAGTTGATGAATTCACGGCGATAACATGCTTCATCAAGAATTAGGAATTTTCGGCTTGGGCTCTTTTGCGGACGTTGGGGGGAAAAGTGGCGGAGGCATCACAGTAGCGCCGAAAACAAACGAAATAAAGAGCCCTCGGGAATTGAGTGTGGAAACGGAACCTTAAGAGCCTGGTTTGGAAATCGCGTAGGAAAGAAGAGCGAGTGCGCCTGCTGGGACACGTGATTAGAAGCTAGCGGTCTGAGCTGCGCTGGCTCTAAGAAAAGGTCTGGTAAGGAGTGCTTTGGGGGCATGGCAAGTGACAGGGCCTTTCGATCTAGCCTCTCTCTTCTCTCCTTTGGGTCTTCTCGGAGGAAAAAGGCTGGATTGGGCACATTGGGGGTGGGGAAGCGGCAGGCCTTAGCTCACGCCCAGAACCTAAGCCATACTTTGGACTCCCGGGCGCCGGATTAGCGTCTCGCTTAGGAGTCTGTGAGCTCCTGGAGAAGGGAGGGGTGCGAGCTGAGTGCATACAGGTTTCTAAACTAGATGAGAGATCTCATAATGGACCTCAAATCTCAGTACCTCTGCAGAAGCTTTCTTGAATCTCCTCTAATCCAACAACCCTCGGATGGATTTTTTTTATTTAATAGGGTGTAGTATGATGTTAAGAGTACTGGGTTCTGGGATTAGACTTGAATTATAATCCTGGCTCCACCACTAATTTTCGTGTGGCATTGGCAAAGAGACTTACTATCTCCGATCCTCAATTTGCTCATTTGAAAAACATGAATACTAATAGTACGTCAATGTGGGGATTAAATGAGAAGATACATACAAGGTACAGTGCTGGCACATAGTAAACAACAAGTCTGTATTAGCTGTAATTATTAGTTGCTCTTGATGCCTGAACAGTACTTTGCAGACCCTTATATTGTGACATGGTATTGTTATTGCAGCATTGTTTACTTCCCTATGACTGACGAGCTCCAGGATAAAGACCTGTTTTTATTACCTGCCCCATGCTATTTCTGTCAGCGTTTGTTAAAGTGAATAAACGAGTGTAAGAATGAATAAAGGAAACATAGTTAACAACATGAATAAGTAAATAAAGAGGAGTGGACTATAATATTGTCATTTTTAGGGAAAACACCTGCCTGTACCTGTGCATGTATGTGTGTAGAGGTGCATTCATGAAAAACGTGGATATGGGGCTTGAGCAGAATCTCCAGGGGTAAAATTTGGGAGCAGTACAGCAAGGCTTGAAACATAGGTCCAGGGGACCAATTTGGCATAGGGGTTTTAAAGGGAGGAGTCACTTTTTTGAAGAACTGAAGGAAAGAACTCTTTTTTTCCTCTCTGCCTATAGAAAAGTATTTTTCCCAGTAGAACGCATGAAAGCCAACAGAGAAATGAAGCGCCTTTATGTGGGTGGCCTTAGCCAGGCCATTTCCCAGGCTGACCTACAAAATCAGTTCAGTAGATTCGGAGACGTTTCTGATGTGGAGATCATCACACGGAAAGATGAGCAAGGTAAGTTTATAGCCCTTCTTTGGGTAGTTAAAGGCAGACATAACAAGGTCGAGTATTACAAAATAAAGGAATCACAGAGATAAATGTTAGCTCTGAAAACTGAAAGTCATGCCTGTTTGATTACAAAATATTCCGCACCCCTGCCCTCAATCCAGCACCCCCACACCCACTCCTGGAGGTGTTACATATGATGTGGAACTCGCTCAGAATTACATTAATAAAATCAGAAAAATCTAAATTCCAAAACACGTCTGATTTCTGAAACATATAACTTTGTTTTCAGAGTTAACAGTCTAACATTGATTAATTATCCTGCTGTATAGGCTAGCGCTAACGTACAATCAAGATGTTTCCTTGAATGACTATGTGACATTTTTATTTATTTCCTTTTGAAATATTCTGATAATCATGCTTAGAAAAATGTAGTCTTTATATCCAGTAAAAATAAACAAGATTTGTCTTTGAAACTGTAAATTTCAAAGAGATCATTTTATTTTTTAATTTAGAAACTTAATCTTTACATTGTTCTCTGGATCAGAGTTTAAATAAATTTATTATTCTTTTTTTTAGGAAACCCACAGAAAATCTTTGCATATGTCAACATCAGGGTGTCAGAAGCAGACCTGAAAAAATGTAAGGTTATCATGTTTTCTATAGTATTTGTCAGTTGATATCATTGTGTAATTTGGAGTAACTTTGGTTGTAAATCTAAACTTCTATAGCCGCTTTTAAGTCATCCAGAGAGACAACCATGATGAAGAATATTCTGATATTCTACAATTCAGCAGGTTTAGGTCCATCGCATTTGACTTCAGCAGACATATGGTAGCATAGCTTAGATGTGTTGAAAGAAGTGTGCTTGCTCAAAACCTAGTATTCTCAAGGACTTTGGACACAGAACTAAACCGCTCCTCCTCCCCAGTGTACTCATTTCTTGAGTAGCTAATTGTTGTCATTAAATGCTGCTTGTAAAGGACTTTCAAATATGCCTTTTTTAATACCATATTAACTCCTTGAAATTGTGAATACTCTGTTGATAAAATTAATAAAGCTTAAGGTGAACAGTGGCTTGCAGTGAAGAAAGAAGTCATCCATACTGCCACTAATGCAGTAATGTATCCTAAATATTTTGAGGTTGAAAAGTCAGAGGATATCGAAAAAGTATGTAAAGAGGGGGGTTATCATCAGCCTTTCATAACCTCATTTGCCAAAAGATTACTTTGTTCTCTTGCTCAGGTGAGGAAATACATATGGCAAACATAAGATTGTGTTAAAAACACATCACCTCTGTTGTGTGTCCTGTGACAACTTATTTAAACTTCTAAGCCCAGTTTGCTTATCTGATGAATGTTGATAATAATAGTGCTTACTTCATAATGTTACTGTGAGGATTAAATTAAATAATGTGTTTGTACTTAGCATAGTACACAGCATAAAGATGAGGTGTGAACGTACGCCCTTCTCTCTCTAGGTCTCATTTTCTCTATTCTACTTTCTCTGTCTCTGTGAAAAACAAGTCTTGGTACTAACATAGTTAGGAAAAGCACATGCTGAAATATATTTGAATTGCCGTATACTTGAGTAATAATTGCTTACTTTATAGGTATGTCTGTTTTAAATAAAACAAAATGGAAAGGTGGAACACTGCAAATTGAGCAAGCAAAAGAAAGCTTTTTGCACAGGTAAGATTTTCTGTACGTGGATTTAAACCCTTTTTCTTTATATTGTAAATGGCTTTACATATTTACGTAATTGACTTGAAATTATTGAGTAATATGCTATAACATTCTTAGCAAATTCAAACATTACAAATAAAGCTGAAATCCCTGTCTTCCACTCCCCCCATCCCAGAATTGACCAAGAAAGATGATTCAATGATGATTCAAAAAGATAATTGTATGTGTGTGTATTTATATACGTGTACGTTTATATGTATTCGTATATATGCATATATACATACATACTATATTTTACACGTATAACATGCGCCTTCTACATTTGTTTGCCAACCACTCCCTCCCTTATCTTACCAGAAAATGAGGTATTTTTGTAAGCATGCTATGCTAATTTTTTTTCTTTATAACAACACGTAAAAGAAAATCGGCATAGCAGTCCTTATGAAAATACCTCACAAAGGTATGAAGTGATTGGCAAACATAGAAGACATGTTATTTGTGTAAAAGTATGGGTACACTCAATTTCATCTTTTTTAAACACAACCTGTTATGGAGTTCTGGTGGTACAGTGGTTAAGAGCTACGGCTGATAACCAAGAGGTGTGCAGTTCAGATCCACTAGCCACTCCTTGGAAATCCTATGAGGCAGTTCTACCCTGTCCTTATAGAGTTGCTGTTATGTTTTTTTATAGTGGTGATGTCGATCTTCATCCTTTGTCTCACTTTTTTAGTACTATTTCAGAAAATGGCTATACCACAGTATATTTGGTCATCCCCTTGTAGTTAGGTGCTGTAGACTCGTTTCCAACTCGTAGTGACCCTATGTACAATAGAGTGAAACACTGCCCGATCCTGTACCATCCTCACAATCATTGTTGTGCTCGAGCCCATTGTTGTAGTCACTATGTGAATCCATCTCGTTAAGGATCTTTCTTTCTCGCTGACCCTCTACTTTACCAAGCCGGACGCCCTCCAGGGACTGGCCCCTCTTGATAACATGTCCAAAGTACATGAGACGAAGTCTCACCATCCTTGCTTCTAAGGAGCATTCTGGCTGTACTTTTTTCAAGTCAGATGTGTTCGTTCTCCTGGTGGTCCATGGTATATTCAGTATTCTTTGCCAACACCATAATTCAAAGGTGTCAGTTCTTTGGTTATCCTTATTCATTGTCCAGCTTTCGCACGCACATGAGATGATTGAAAACACTATGGCTTGGGTCAGGTGCACCTTAGTTCAAAGTGACATCTTTGCTTTTTAACACTTTAAAGTGATCTTTTGCAGAAGATTTCCCAATACAATACATCGTTTGATTTCTTGACTGCTGCTTCTCCGTGGGTGTTGATTGTGGATCCAAGTAAAATGAAATCCTTGACAACTTCAGTCTTTTTTCCGTTTATCACGATGTTGCTTATTGGTCTAGCTGTGAGGATTTTTGTTTTCTTTATGCTGAGGTACAATCCACACTGAAGGCTGTAGTCTTTGATCTTCTTCAGTAACTGCTTCAAATCCTCTTCACTTTCAGCAAGCAACGTTGTGTCGTCTACATATTGCAGGTTGTTAACGAGTCTTTCTCCAGTCCTGATGCTGCATTGTTCATATAGTTCAGCTTCTCAGATTATTTGCTCAGCCTACAGATTGAGTATGGTGAAAGGATAAAACCCTAACGCACACTTTTCCTGACTTTAAACCACACATTATACCCTTGTTCTGTTCGAACCACTACCTCTTGGTCTGTGTAAATAGGTTCCTCATGAGCACAATTAAGTGTTCTGGAACTCCCATCCTTTGTATTATTATCTATAATTTGTTATGATTCACATAGTGGAATACCTTTGCACAGTCAGTAAAACACAGGTAAACATCTTTCTGGTATTCTGTACTTTCAGCCAAGATCCGTTTGACATCAGCAATGATATCCCTAGTTCCACATCCTTTTCTGAATCCAGCTTGAACTTCTCGCAGTTCCCTGTCAATACATTGCTTCAACTGCCTTTGAATGATCTCCAGAAAAATTTTACTTGTGTGTGATGTTAATGATATTTTTGGATAATTTCTGCATTCTGTTGGATCACCTTTCTTTGGAATGGGCACAAATATGACTCTCTTCCAGTCGGTTGGCCAGGAAGCTGTCTTCCAAGTTTCTTGATATAGACAAGTGAGCACCTCCAGCACTACATCCATTTGTTCTGACATCTCAGTTGGTATTCCGTCAATTCCTGGAGCTTTGGTTTTCACCAGTGCCTTCAGTGCAGCTTGGAGTTCTTCCTTCAGTACCATCGGTTCTTAATCATATGCTGCTTCCTGAAATGGATGAACATTGACCAGTTCTTTTTGGTATAGTGACTTTGTGTATTCCTTCCATTTTCTTTTGATGCTTCCTTCATCGTTCAGTATTTTCCCCTTGGAATCCTTCAATATTGCAACTTGAGGCTTGAATTTTTTCTTCAGTTCTTCCAGCTTGAGAAATGCCAAGCGTGTTCTTTCCTTTTGGTTTTCTAATTCCAGGTCTTTGCACATTTCGTTATAATACTTTGTCTTCTTGAGTCATCCCTTCAAATCTGTTCGTTTTGTTTACTTCATCATTTCTTCCTTTCACTGTAGCTACTCTGTTCAAGAGCAAGTTTCAGAGTCTCTTCTGAACTCCATTTTGGTTTTTTGGTTTTTTGGTTTTTTTTTATTGTACTTAAGGTGAAGGCTTACAGAACAAATAGTTTCTCATGAAACAGTAGTACACATATTGTTTTATGACATTGGTTAACAACCCCACAACATGTTAACCCTCTCCCTTCTCAACTTTTTTTTTGGTGAAAATATACATAGCCAGAGGTACACCATTTCAAAAATTTCTACATGCACAGTTCAGTGACATCGACTACGCTCTTCCAATTGTGCTGCTCTGAACTCCATTTTGGTCTTCTCTTTCTTTTCTATCTTTTTGATGGCCTTTAGCTTTTTTCATGTGTGATGTTCTTGATGTCATTCCACAGCTCATCTGGTCTTCAGTCATTAGTGTTCAGCGCATCAAATCTGTTCTTGAGATGGTCTCTAAATTCAGGTAGGATATACTCAAGGTCGTATTTTGGCTGTTGCAGACTTGCTCTGTTGATGGACTTACCCTAATGATGGACATTTAGAAATTTTTCAGTTCTTCATTATCATAGGTGATCCCTCAATATCCTTGAGGATGTCTCTTGCATATGTGCAGGTATTTCTCTGGAGTTTATATCAAAAAGTGTAATCACTGAGTCCTGGATTTATGCACATGTAAATTTTACTAGACACTACTGACGTGCTTATATTGATTTTGAGAATTAATGCTAACATACAAACATGAAAAGATGATGCAAGATCCCAGTATAAGAAGCATAAGATCAGTTATGCAAGTGATTTAAAAACAAGACAGTGCAATAATAAGCATTATAGAATTTTCAAATTCTAAAGGTATTCTCAGGGAGAAAAGATTATTTGAGTTTGGAGGCTTTCAAACTAGGAAGCACTTAAAGATGAAGGGTCCAGGAATGTTGATAAGATTGTTCTAAACTCTAGAAATGGCATAAGCAAATATACAGTCTAAAACTAGCGGCAGGCAGCCTAAATGAGCTATGTTATGGTGGAGTAATCTGGTGTTAAATGTGGGTATTTGGTTTTGTTCTTCAGCTGGGGGCCTCTAACCCTCTGTCCACAAGGTAATGATGTCACTTTGATTCAGCAGCATCTAATTGCCTATTGTGTGCACCGCTGAGCAAGGCAAGTACACAGCATTGGAGTGTTGTAGGTATGCACACAGGACACAGATTTGATGGTTCTTCTGAAAGGTGGACTACAAAAGAGACAGGCTAGAGGCAAAGAGATCAGCAAGGATTGGTCAGTACCATTTGTCCAGTCCTGAGTAAAGTGGGGGTAGTTTGAATTGGATGATTGAGATGGCATTCTATCATTATGAGGGTGGTGGTGTTGGGTGCCATCAAGTTGCTTTCAACTCATAGTGACAACATGTGACCTCATGGGGTTTTCTATGCTGTAATCTTTCTGAAAGCAGATCACCAGGTCTTTTTTTCCCAACAGGGCTGCTGGGTGGACTTGAGCTGCCAACCTTTTTGGTTAGCAGCCAAGCGCTTAACCCTTGCACCACCAGGGTAGAAATAACCAATTGTTAAAATGTGGTAAATTGGGTTCCAAAAGATAACTGTTCATGAGGATCAGTGGCGGGAGAGAGGATAGATAAATACCAAGTATACAAGTTGAAAGTGGAAAATCAAGAGGCTTTATTATCCATGGTCTCAGTCTTACCATGAAATGGAGCTGGGACATCTGCTGGGAGCAGGGCAGTGGGCATGGGAAAGAACATGAGAGATTAGGGAAAATGACTAGAGTGGGTGTGGCGGGGGGTGGACCTCCAAGCTATTTTGGAATAGCTCTGGTAGCAAAGCCTTTTCCACGCTTTACAGATCTTTTCAGTAGCCTACAATAGGAGACTGGTTGGGTAAATTATCATGTATTTATGTAATGGCATGTTGTACAGCCATTAACATCAACTACAGGTACTCCCAACTTACGACAGGTTTCCTTTCCAACAACTCCGTCCTAGGTCAGTTCTGACGTAAGTCGAATGCCTCTTTTTTTTTTTTTTTTTAGTTTTCGTTATTATTGTCTTTTATTATCAGTATCTTTATAAATCCAATCTTTATTTGTTTTTGGGGGTTGAAAACGTTACATATGAACTTAGAGATACGTTTTCATACATACGTACGTAAAAAAATACCTAAATCAGAAAAATTTACTTGGACAATAAAGAAGAGTTTGACAATGTAGGCATTTTGTCAGTTGTGATAATAACTCCACTTGTAGAAGGTTCTAGATTATCCCTGGAAATGGGGATAGGGTTTCTAGTGAGAAAATTAGTGACAATTGTCTGTGTGGTCCTTTTTTTTTTTTTTAATATTCTTTTTTTTTTTT